CACTTGGTAGCCCAGGCTGGCCTCGAACTCCCAGAGATCCGCCTGCCTCTGCCTCCCGAGTGCTGGGATTAAAGGCGTGCGCCACCACCGCCCGGCAACCCAAAACTCTTTTAAGAAAGAGATTTATTTGGGAGAGAGGAGTCCAGGAGAGTAGCTGCCTCTGCCAGGGTGGGAAGGCACAGCCCACAACTGAACAGGCAGACGGGCTTATATAGGTCCTCTTAGGGGTGGAGCTTCTCCAGGAAGAAGAGTTTCTGCCCAGGGATTGGCTAGTTTTGTTGGTCAGGGGCAAAGTTGGCTCTGGTTTCAGGGCCAAACTGTGTTTCTTTCGCTGGCCCTTTTTAGCCTTTTGGCTCTAGTTTTAGGGCCAGGGCATAGTTCTTTCACTGGCTCTGTTTCCAGGGCCAAAGTGTGTTTCTTTGGCTTTGGTTTCAGGGTCAGGGCATGTTTCTTAGGTTCTGGGTTCAGGGCTAGGTTGTGTGTCTTTCTCTCGCTCTAGCTTTAGGGCCAGGGTGGGTTTCTTTGGCTAGCCCTTTTTCCTTTAAGATGTAGGGTCTGGTGGCAATGCCGTAGGGAGTGAAGGAAGTCCTGAATGAGTGAAGTCTCGAGTCAGTGTGTGCTGTTGACATGGGCATAGCCATGTCAAGGACCACAGACCCATGGAGACATGGCAAAGTGTTCCTCCCGATCTGTGTCTAGGTGTTGACAGAAAATGTCCACCACAGCTCCCCCACACCCAGATAGTTACAGCTTACACACTGCACCCCTACAGAGACTCTTCCTTGATAGGCTGTGTGCTTGACTCCTGGTTGATCTGCATGTGATAACCCCGCCTCTCTGTAAGCCTCAATAGTAAACACACTGAGCTTTCTCCATCTGAGAACCCAGTCCAGCACTGACTGTCTGTGTCCGTGTGTGTGCGCGCGTCTGTCTGTCATTTCTTCATTCCCTCATGGCTGTAGTCAGGGCCAGCCCCTTGGAGCCGTGATGGACACAACAACAGAATGCCATCAAGTCATTTAGTATATTATTCTTGGACACAGCAGCATGCCATCAGGTCAGTTAATACATTGTCCCCATGAGAGGTTAAGGTAGATCTGGGGAGTCTCTGCTCCATTTTCTTGAGTGAACTATTTTAAGAGAGCAAGACTGACCCCTCCCTGTCTGGCATCATCTCTCACCATGTGATGTTTCGCTCTTTCCATACTACCTTCCACAGCACAATGCAGACAGCTGACATCCTGTTTGGACTTTCAGCCTCCAACACTGTCAACTAAACAAACCACTTTCTTTACAAATTACAGAGTCTTGAGTATTTTGTTATAACAATGGAAAATAGACAGGTGGAGTTATAACAGCTCACAGCTGGCTCTTTGGGTGTAGAGAAGTGTTGTGTTTCAATAGTGTAGTTCCCTCCTCATTCATACTCCAGGATTGAATTTCACTAACTTAGCAGCTATTGCTGTCCACTCACCCACTTTCTTTCTGAAGCATTTCCTGGCTGCTTCTTTTTCTCAGTCCTTTATTTTCAATTTTTTTCTGTCATTCTGTTTTAGTTTTAGCTCTTATATATAGAGTTCAGTGCATTCAAATCTCTTTATGTGAGGGTCCCTGACCGGTTTTGTTTTGTTTTGACAGGAACTTGTATATAGCCTACATTGGCTATGTAGCAGGCTGTCCTTGAACTTCTTGCCTTCACCTTCCAAGTGTGAGGATCACAGGTATGCACTTACACATTCAGCCAAGGTCTCCATTTTTCATGGTGATCATGACCTATTTCATGATCACTGACCGGGAAATGTTTGGAATTATCCCAGCATCTAGTCAAGTTCTAGTAAGTTTTAGGCAGGAACTCAAGAGTTCGTGACCATCACAGATTGTATTTAGGAGTCACATTGAGACATAGTGTATGCTGTCTTCTATTTTGACAAATAGATGTTCATAGGGTAACATTTAAATGCACGTGTAAAGGTACTGGTGTTTAATAACTAAAAATTGCTAAGTATCAAAGTTGTCTGAATTAAAGATGTCTGAGTTAAATTAACATTGCCATATCTGAGAGTCTTGTCACTGGTTATCAATATTTTATAATAAGATAATTTATCTAGAAATGTGTTTTTACTCTTCAAATTATGTTTTCCTTCATTTTAGAAAAAATGTTACATGACTAAAAGAAAGTTTCACACAAATCTAAAATAATAATATATGCAACAATAAAATATATGTTTAAAGTACTCAAAACTTATACATTCAGAAAAATATAAATTGAAGTAAATGTAAACAAAAAATTAAAGTTTTGTACATATTTTTACAGTATAGTGATAAAAGACTCAACCATATCATTAAAATTTTAAAAAAGCAAAATGGGACAATAATCAGTTCATGAAGTAAAACATCATGTGATAAAAACTTATGTATACATTTATGAAAAATTAATTATGTATTAGGTATTTTTATTAAAAACATATAATGTACACGTTTAATGTGTCAAATGTATGTGACTGCCCTTGCTGTGACTTGCTCTTGAGTCTCATTAAGTCAGATCTAGACCTTCACACACTTTGGAAAATGTTATGATGTGATTGGTGTTGCAGTGTCCTCCCTCCCAGGGCACCTGTTGTGGACATCACAGTATCACATACCTGCAGGATCCTGATGGGAACACTGCTTCACATCTGCTCTGCTTCGCCTGCCATCCTAAACAGCCACAGCTCCACCCAGGTTAACCACTTGCATAGCAAACCCTCTAGGGTTTAGGCCAGGGGAACATGCCCTGGCCGGGGGCCTCTATGGCCCCAGCTCTTTCAGGAGGAAGTCTACACCCCCAGCACTGGTCTCGTTGTGTTCTAGAGCACCCAGTTTGTCCAGAGCCATGCAGGGTATAGTGCCAGTCTTGCCCACACTCGCATAGTGGACACTTTACCCTGTAGTTTTTAATTCCTCAGGAATCCTTCAGCATTCCTGACCTTTCAATCTTCAGGACTTGAGGTGGGAGAGAAAATAAGTACTTAAGCTGTCATCTCAAGCAAATCTCTTTCCAAAACACCGTAGTGATGCTGACAGGAAACACAGCTGCCCAGCATCTGTGCTGCTCATGGTAAGCAGGTGAAACAGTGACCCAAAATCAGCATTGACCCTCTGCAAGCGCAGGCTGCCCACTCTGCCCTTCTCTCATGGTCTGCCCATCATGGCTCCGTGCTTGCCACCCCCTCCAGTATCCAGCATGGTATTTCTTCCTACTGTAAATAAAACGAGCCCACTCCTTTTTGGTCTGTCTGTCTCCTTTCTAGCCACAAACCACACAGTTAATTTGAGCTTCTTGGTCCCTTCAGGTGTGAGCATGTGTGGTGATTACTTGGTCCCAGAATGAGGACAGTCAGTGACAATTAGAACCCTACATGTAACACACCTTCCTGCCAGCCCACGTCAGAGCAATTCTTTAAGCATGTTGTCACCATGTAGAATGGCAGTGGCATCATGGCTAGGAGCTAGATCACTGTCTTCTTTGGGTGGTGAACCCCATGTTCGGGTCAGCCCTGGGCACTCATTGTATTTGTGCTTATTCTATTTATAGTCAGTCACAAACTCGAGACTTAGGTTTTCACTCCATTTCATTTTTCTCAATTTTTGGGGAGACAGAAAGAATTTCAAATATTTGTTTATTTGTTCTATAAATGCTTCAATAAACCGAATAATTGAAACAGTTCCTGCCTTACATTTAGAGGCTAATCAAGACTGGTCAAGTTGCCAAGACCTCTAACACAGGCAGCAAAGACAGTTCAGTCAAGTAGACTTGGGAGACAGGTAACTATTTTATGATAAGATATATAGCATTTGGGTCCAGCCTTGGAAGATGAATAGTTTTCAGAACAGGTGAGACACAGGGCAGTTCAGCTTCAAGGAGGCTGTCTCACCCCCGTCAAAATGGCAGGAATCAGAAAAACAACATGCTGGTGGGGATGGGGACTGAAGGGAGTCTTTGCATACTGCTGGAGCAAATGTAAACTAATGCAGCCACCATGGGAACTGCTGTGGTGTGTCTTCAGAGGCTAAACATGGAGCTTCCATATGACCACATATACCACTTCTCAGTGTTTACCCCGAGACTCCAAGTCACCATATACCACAGAGATCTTGCCCATCAGTGTTCACAAGAGCTAAGTATGGACCAACCCAGGTGTCCAACAGCAGAGGACAATGTGTACACCTGACAGAATTGTGTTCGTCCATAGAGAAGGAGGGGACACTCTTTGCAGGAGAATGGATGAAACTAGAGATGGTCCTGGTAAGGAATTGCATCAGTCTCAGAGAGACCCATTCTACATGTTCTCTCCTTTGTGTACCTAGACTTAACAGATACATAAAATCATGTGCATTGAGGGAGGACATGCAAGTACATGTGAAACTGGGGGACTAGAAGGATGACAGGAGGGTCAGGGGTGAGAGAGGAGAAGGTAGAAGGGAACAGGGTGGAAGAGGCTCAAAGCATATTTCGTACTTGCACAAAAAAGCTTGACATACCTGTTCTAATTTGCTTTCAGCTAGTGTGATAAAAAGCACTGTGGGGAGGAAAGGGTCTCTCCCAGCTTACAAGATACATTTCACTGTTAATGGGAGTCGGCAAGGGGCTCAGGGGGAGTCAGAACAGAAGCAGCTACCACAGAGGAAAGCTGGCGCTGGCTTGCACTCTCTGGCTTGCTCAGCTAGCTTTCTTAAGTACCCCCAGCCCACCTACCTAGAGATGGCACTGCCCACAGGGAGCTGGGTCCCCTAGATCACCTAGCAGTCAAGGAAATTGTCCTCAGACATGATGATCTCGGGAATTTTTCAGTTGAAGTTCCCCCTTTTTTAGGTATATATCAAGTTGACATATGAAGTTATGATGGTAATGTTTTATAATAATTTAAAAAAAAATCAAAGGTGTTTTCATCTTCTTGGGCTGCAATAATAAAAAATAGCATAAACCTGATGGCTTATGAATGTAATTGATTTCTCACAGTTCTGCATGCTGAAATGTTAGAACTCAGATGTTAGAGGCAGGTTAGGTCACGCCCTCTGTAGCTGTGTTTCTCTCCACATTCAGAACTGATTCTGCATACAGGCTCCCGTGCTACCAGAGTAGAGAGGTTGGAGTGTTATAGACCCAAAGCCTAAACCAATCTTTATCTTGGTCCATCTTTAGACGCCTTAAGAGCCAGATACTGCTCACCTCTGCATCCAACCTAACATTCTTAGGACTATTTGGTAAATCCTTTGGAAAGTACAAACAGATCCCCAGATTCTACCAACTGTCGTCAGGTGGAATCAGAGGCCTGTATCTGCCATTCCCCTGCTATTCTGTAATCCGCTTACTTGATGTCCCCACCAATGGCTTTGAAAAGCGTCTTGATTTATGACTTCCTTTAAAAAAAGATTTATTTATTTATTTATTTATTGCATATGGTGCTCTATCTGCATATATGAATTTATGCCAGAAGAGGGCATCAGATCCCATTACAGATGGTTGTGAGCCACCACGTGGTTGCTGGGAATTGAACTCGGGACCTTTGGAAGAGCAGCCAATGTTCTTAACCGCTGAGCCATCTCTCCCGCCCTGATTTATGGCTTTCTTTATTCTGTTCTGATATAAACTTCATGAAACTGTTAACACATCGGAACATGGAATTTAGGGTAAACTGGGTCTGTGTTCCTAGGCTGAGATCACTCATATTTGGCTCTAGAGTAAAGTATCTTTTATCCCCTTTGAGGCAAGAGCTGTGTTTTTGCGTTGGCACAGACAAATGAAACTTTTTTAGTGTCACTGCTGTTGATAAGGACTTGGATGCTTTACAAGAGCAGAGATTTATTTTTGCCTTAATTTATTGGGGGTAAAAATGAAAAGTTTTGAATATGGCATAGAGAAATAATGAAGCAGTTTCAGTGTGGCTAAGAAGTGTGATTTTTTTTTTGTCTAAGTAGACCTGAATGCTCTGAAAATTTTAAAATAATCATCTAACTGTGCCAGCATGAGCCCTTAGTCGCCTAGGCAATAGAACAGGTTTCCATGGAAACACATGGGTCTGTATCAAAGAAATACCTTGATTTTTAATGGTAGGAATGAGCTTCATCTAAGGGGTACTAAAACCCACTGCTAGCTGCTCAGTCTCCCCTGGTCATTGAACTCATATCTGTGAGTGATCTTTACTGTAGAGAAATGAAAGACGGACATTTCCTAGTTACATTTAAATTTTATTGTGCAGTGACCAAGGGCAGCTCACTTTTAAGGAAGGTCCCACCTATTAGTACTTAAATCTTCTCCAAAGGTCGTGGATCCTCTGCATCGGCATCCTCCAGTGTCTTGCCTGAGAGACAAGAGCAGGGAGGGAGGGAGGGGCATGTGCCTGATGCAGGCATCATGGACCCAGGGCTGAAGAGTCGGATGGAAGAGAGCAGGATGAAGCAGACAGACAGACTTTCATAGAAGCCCACTTGGTGCTATCCTGTCTTTGACTGAGGCAACAAGTCGATATCCCAGGTCCAGCTCCTTCAGGGAACTCACATTTTAATTCACTCCAAACTCAGGGACAAAGACTGCCTAGTGCTGTCCAAGGTGCTGAAGAAGATTCTATTGGGGAACATAAAACTCCTGCCCCCCAATCCAACTAATAAGTTCACATAACTTAAACCACATGGTACTAATTAAATAAGAATAATGTAGGGTGGGATTATGGAGAGTGGTGGA